TCCTGCGTTATAATCTTGCTTTCCCTCGTCGAAAGGCACATATTGTAACTAAAGAGCGCGCATTTTTTAAGAAGACCCCAATGTTTTTCGATTGAACAGTACGAGCGGCGGGCGTGGAGAAGGGAAAAAAGGGCGTAGTAAGTCATATGGAGAGGCTCGTACGTCATACTTCATCCAACGGAGCAACACATGGAAAGGGTTCTCTCCATATACAAGAAACGCACTCACTTGGGCTGCCTCTTTAGGTCGCTATGCTATAGTATGAGGTCTGTTACATGTGTCTGAGTTTCGTACACCTTTATACATAGAAGAGATCCGAACCGCTTGATCACCTGTGTACAATATGCCCGCCTACACTCGACGCATATTCGTCATATAATCTTTTAATAATTCGCAAAAATCAATTTTAAGATACGTACGCATTGATATACAAAAGCAAACTTTATGAATACCATTTTGATGAATACCATTTTTATCGTATTCTCTCTTTTCATTATATTCTTTTAATCATCAATATCTTTAATTTCATTATAAAATACATAAAAACATTATAAAATAAAATATTCTGATAATTATGATGATAATAAATTATGATGATATCCTTTATATCAATCAAAAGAATAATTTTGTTTATTTGTATTTTTAACTAATAGACATATTTATTTTATAGGTGATGATGCTAATAAATTGCGTAAAGAAAATCTCAAATTTGTGCAAAGCTGAACTGAAATATTTCTGTTCTCTAAAAAGGGAATCTTACGATTCCTGAAGATTGGAGCTGATCTTCAGTAGTACGAGAGAGTAGAACACTGTATTACCGGCAAATCTCGTAAACGGCCATAGCAGCAAGTGGGGGTTCCTTCCTGAGAAGGAGGGATAAACGAGCCGAGCCACGATTTCGTTGTCGTAAACGTCAAAGTTACGGTTACAGCGTTGTTCCTAGTTGCTTTATATTGAACGAGGTTGCTCCCCGAGGTACGTAACACCTACCTACTCGCAACCGTCGTATTGCAGAAAGTAGCACTATGCTCCTTTCCAACTCGGGAATGACGCGTCACCACGTGGCTTTTACGCGGGAATTCGGCAGAGGAGTTCAAGGTTCGTTGAATATCCTTTTAGTCATACCACGTGCTAAGTAATATTAATTTTCTTTTTGTAATTTATAAAGTAACAAATATATTGTGCTTGTTCAAATAAAAATTAACATAAATTACCATCTTGATTCTTTTTTTATCTCCTTGATTTAAATCGTTGAATCATTTGAAAAAATTGTAAATTATTAGGTGTTGGAATTAATTCGTAGCGTTTTTTAATGAAAGAATGTTATTTATTTCACATGAGCATTAAAAAATACATTAATGAAAGTACTTCCCATCACTTGTAAAACGCTACGAATTAATTCCAACACCTAATATATTATATTAATTTTTTTTAATCAACATTTATTTAAATTCAACGGAAGTACAGAATGTAAACTTTGAAAACGGAAGTTATATTAACGGCACATTCATCCGGCATATTTATCTTGATTAATATTCCTGTATCAAGTTATCATTCCTTAATGTAGCTTTAAAAAGGATCCTTTTTTAGATTTGTGCCGTAAAAGAGGTCCGCTCTCAATAGACTGAAATGAAGAGCTGCCTAAATAGCACCCCAACCTCTATCGTCGCGCCCTCTAATTACCCTGTAGACGCAGTCACCCCTCAATGAGGAGTGATAAATATTGTTCGCGTTTGAGTATATTCCGAGAAAGTGAATCAACTCTATAAAGAAAGGTATATATACACATATATTTCCCATTGCTACTGGTAAGCATCGCAGATTATTTATTGATAAAATGCTTTTAATTTAAAGATTTCCTATTTTTACTATTAAGAATAGAACAAAATTAATTTTAATATTTATATATGTATAAAATATTAGAAAAAGGATTTAAAATATAAAGACGGATAGTATTTACTAAACTGAAATCTACTTACAAACTATCTGCAAAATATATGAAAAAATTATGTAAATTAAATACCACTTCTATTTTCAATAATCATGTTTTTATTGTTGATTAAACATTTATATATTTTTTGCTGAAGTTAATGAATACATTACCTTCATACTTTAAATTTTTTATCGTCATATATATTTGTTATTAAATTAAAACTGTATTGACACAGGCGTGTTAAGTATACATTACAAGATAGAAGATAAATAAAAGTAGATACAGTTACCTATAACACATTAATTCTATCGCGCGCGCGTGCCATAAAACGCAAGCTTCCTAAGCGATTTATGAAATGCCAATTAACAAAAAGGAAATAACGACAATATGTACGTAAACGTTTAACGTTGTAAATATTTTTCATTAAAAAAAACAGAATTATAAACTTATTCTTTTAATATGAAATATATATTAGACTTATTATATATTACGGCTATCTACCACTTTCATATTTATATGAATTGGACGTATAATCGTTTATCATACATTTATGATACACAAAGGTATAGTTAAAAGCGCGATAAATTAAGCGACAGATGCAGTATTTCATACTAGCATGCATTCTAGCTATATAATTATCTTTACCGCCATAAGTATTTAAAGAATGAATAGAGACAATAGACGTATACATCAATTTTTAGCATTTCGTAATAGCTGCGGTAAAGGTTTAAATGGTAAGACTTGTAATATCTATCATTATATTATGCCACAATATAAGTTATATTATACTGATTTAATTGTAATACATAGTCACATTTTGCATTTTACGTTTGAAAGAGAATTTTAAAGCGTTAATTAGACAATTTTATATAGTAAAGAACAACGTGAAACTTTATAGTGTCAATATAGTGATCATAAATTATACATTTATTACCTAATCTAAATATGATTATTCAAAATATTATAGAAGCTACGACGTGTTAAAATTAATTTTCTACAGCCGAGGCTATAAATTGGGATCATTCATCGTATACAATGATAGATGATTGCCGATAGACATTGATAGCTCTATATTTAACTGCAAATCTACGACAAATTAATCCATAATCCTGTACCGATAAATTTTCCTACGTGCTCGATTTAACGACACTGAAAAGCACTTGTTAGAGAGTACAAAATGAGTCAACGACTTTCAATCTACGAGTGCATAGAACCTGTTATACGAGTATGCGGCTGATCAAATGCTTTTACTCATTCCTACGATTCCTACAATCACTGCGTTCCATGTATCATCGAGACAATTTGCAAGCCATAATCAATGATCCGAAACATTCAATTGATTACAATAAAGATGAATGGAAGTAATTCCTCTAAATCTTTAAACAGATGATAAGTAAAAAAAATGTTGATTTAAGATAATAAATTTCGTTTATGCATATGTATGTACACTCGCGTATTTTTCATAAATGCTACAATTCAGGATTTATAAATTATCACAATAATCAGAAATTCTTAAGAAATATTAGTTTTTTAAGTAATACAATATAACATAATAACGACAAGATACACATGCATTTAAATGTTAAAAATTATTTCTTGAAAAAGAATATGGAAATTCATGTTGTAGAATTTATACATTATAAAATTCATCGAATAGTATTTTAATGTTTCTTAAAACATAATTCCTTCCTTTATATGTAAAATATCTCTTGTAGTCGAAGATGAAGAAAAAAATAGGTGACCCTTAAATCGGACCGAAAAAAAAACAATAAAGAAGACTCCCGTCGAGAAGAAGCTAAAGGCGGTTTTGAGCAAAAAAGAAGAATAGATATAAAAAAACTGCTAGCTTTCTAAGAGCCTAGTCTCAGCTGAGTTAGTAAAGAAAGGTCTCACCGAAAGTGCGATATCACCCATGAGGCCTTGATTATATATCTACTAACGGCAAAGCAGAAGGTTATTCGAGAGTATCTCTCTCGCAATGAAAAGGACAAAGACATCGCTAGAAACAGCTGACTACCGGAATTCGGGGGTTCCGGTGGGGTGAGTACAGTGGGGAAGGCACTTGAACCCCCAATTGGACGAGGACTTCCCCATTATACCCAACGTACCCAACGATTTTACACGCACTTGACTCCATTCTACCTATCTCGCAGACATAATTTTGCCAAGGTACACGGCCGATTTTCCACAACATAGCCCGTGCGCGTTGACATTGTACACACGGAAATAAAAAACTTGTGGAATTTACATTTAATACGAAAATGTATGGAAATGTGGGAGTAAGACTAGCAATTTAAAAGCAATTATAAGCACACATTTATTACTATTATATTCATTATTATGCTATCAAATAATAATTTTCGCGTTCAGCAATTAAGAATCTACGAAAACTAACTACATTAGAAGCGACAATAATAATTTTAATTTTACATAAAAAAAATTTCGAAATATTAATTACATGCGATACTTTAATATCGTTTTTTTTTTTACGACTTCAATTTTTAGTAAACTTTAGTTGCTATTAATCGTTTTGTCATCATATTTATTTGACCAGAAGGTAATGAAATGCTTTTAGTTTGTCAGCGATTGTAAATCTGTTATCTCGGATTTCATGATGGACATGCCGTATTTCAAAACGGTGTACAAATAGACTATGCAAAAAATTTCATCGCATTCGGCATGGTAGTATGATAAGCTGTATTCGTCGAATAGAACGTATATCTACATCTTCCGCTTTTTTGTAAACAAAGGAAGGGTGAAATAACTCATCGTGTTGACGCGGACGCAATAGAAAATTTTTCATCCATTTGGATTTATTCGTGATACATGTGAAACATTCTATTCTATAATCCTATCCCGCACAACTTCTAGGTAATTTGATCGCGGGGAAGCAATTTTAACAATTTAGTCTGGTATAACCAGACAGGCAAGCCTGATCCACCACGCCTTCCCGACCACGTGGTCGTCGCTCCCCACGTTTCCCCTAACCAGCCTAGTGGCTCCTATATTTCATCGCGGCTGTTATGATAATAGTCGTATAAGAGAGCATTTATGAATGCAAACTCACCTGCTATAGCCATCCAGGGGTAGAAGGTATGGTTGCTGGTAGGTTGCTGATGTAGTTGCGTGGCGACCGGTTGACTCGCAGACGAGTTTAAACTGCAGGTGTTCCAAGACGACGTGAGGGATCTTGACGAACTATTGTTACCAGGACTCGATGCTGGATCACCGCCTACGAGACCACCGTAGCTACTAACCCTTGTACTCTCTGGGGTACACGCAGAGGGACGTACGACCGAATTACTCTGGCTGTTCGCTCCCGAGGTCGCTGACTGCCAAACGTCCTTGACCGCTGCCGCTGCCATTACCGCAGCATAACCGTTTTGATGAGTTGACGTTTGATCCTGTTGCTTACAGTCTTTCGTTGCCGTTGTTGAATATGAAGATGTGGTGTGACCAGTTGCTTCAGGTGTCGTCGAATAAAGCTTACAAGCCGTCGCAACGCTCGCGTCATATGGCGAGTCTTGAGGTGGTCTTGTATTGCTTCCACCGCCTGGGTGTATTCCCAACGAGGATGATGTGTGATGATGATGCTGCGCCGAAGCGTAAGGCGACATACCTAATCCGAGTGGAAAGCTTCGATACGCTGCTGCGGTGGCTGGATCATGATGCTGACTTGCCGCTCCTGTTTGATGATGGTGGCTTCCGTAGAAGCCACCCGCGGTCTGCTCAAAGTACGAGTTCATTATCCCGGGTATTTTGGATCACTTTCACTAAAACACCGGCACTGAAAAAAGGTGAAGAAAGAAGTCAGAGTTCAAACGGCCCGCAATTACATGGAGTGCACACGGCTAGTCGAATTTTACTAGTCCGTACTCCAACTTCGATGCCGAATTATTCCGATTTAACTTCTTCAAATTAAACAAACGTAAAACTTCCGATATTGTTACGAGTTAAGATACACTTAAGAAAACGATATACTTTGACACGAATGGCGAAAGATGATAAGATTGACAAGGGGCAAATAAACGAGCATTAAACAATTTTAAGAGGTCATAAAAGTCATTGGCAGATATAGCTGGTTACACCAGGAGTGTCAATGTCAGTAGGCCGTAAGAATGTAATTCAGAATGAATTTCATGTCAACGGTGAGAGCTTTTATGGTCTTGTTATGGTTACCGCTACGGGCAAAGCATAAACTGGTGGTCTCGACTATGGAAACAGGCGATGATCGTTAAACCGTTACGATGTAATAAACTTAGGTAATAAGACGGGCTATAAAATGGCTTGTGGGTTCCTCTACCGCGTGCTCGCCCGACGACGGTTCGGTCAGCCGGCACGCGACCACCCTCACGGGTGGTTCTCTCTTTCTTCCTCTTTTTGAAATAAATTAAAAATCGCGATTGATCAGGTCGAGGCCTCTTGAAGAGCCAGTCGATCTGTTACAGAATCAAAAATGACTCTGCTAGTCCGCACTGCACTAGCACTTGTCGTATCGTGACTTCGCTGATGACTGAGGTCCGGTACGAGTCAGAGGACGATGAAGATCGTAACGAATCACGGTATGCCAGTGCGGTGGTCCACGGCACACTACCGCTTTTCTCGCGCCCCGTGTACCGCCACTCTGTACCGTCGTCCGTCTCTTGCTCGCTCGTTCACCTCGTTTTGTCTCTGTTCTTCACAGTCGACTTCTCTCGCACTCTCTCCGAAGTTTCCTTCCTCGTTCTACCAATCACCGTTTCTCCATGCACTCTCTCTCTTTCTCTCTCACTTTCCGTCACGGTCACTCCTTCCCATTCGTGCGGTTGTCGCTTCTCGCTCACGCGTACTCTTCCTCCAGAGTACTACGTCCTATAACGGAGAGATCGCAGTGCCGTATCCCTCTTTGTCCCTCATATACCATCCCCCTCCTGGTACGATAACTGTGCTCTCTCGCTCTATCTACCGTCGTTGTTGTCCCCCTCTTCCACCCCCAACGTTCTCCCCACAATTGCTCTCTCACCCTCTGATTCTGTCTCGCTCCACCTCTCAACGATATTCGTTCTCTCCCTTCCCATTCGAGCTATCCTCTCCCTCTTTCTCACAATACGATTTCTCAGTGCCCCCTATCGAGCGTTCCAGTAACTCAACGACGTACCGCCAGATTAAATTCGTACTCGCTCGCCGTGCGCGTCACATTTGAGACGCGCGACAGATAAGACGGTGCGAGATGGAAAGAGAAAAGAACTTCTCTTCTCGCGACACGAAAGAAAGGGAAGAGATGAGATAGGAAATAGAGAGGGATGAAAGACACGTAAAGACATGAGCAGAAACGAATAAGAAGGTGGGGAAGAGGGAGGTAAAGAGGAAAAGAAAGAACGTTATGCGCAATTGCAACAGCTAAGAGTGAGACGAAATGGAGCGAGTGCTGTTGCGATAGTGACGAGGAGGGAGAACGTGCCGCTAAGGGAGGAGGTTATACTTAAGGACCAATCAGAATTGAATTCGTCACGAATACCGCGCTGGTGTGGCATGAAAGTTCCTACGCCGTGTGAAAGTAGTTCCAAGTTGGAACGACGCCCATGAACGGTTAGGCACCGCCCCGCAGACCCCCACTACCAAAGCGCGCGCGAGGTACCGGCACGCTGTGTCCGTACCGTGCTGGAGAGAGAGAGAGAGAGAGAGAGAGAGAGAGAGAGAGAGGAAGAGAGATGGAGAGAACCGAGCGTCATGCACTGTTTCTGCCTTCTCTTTCTCTCCTCTGCGTTCGTTCGTGGGGATACGTGTACCGCCACCTTTGAGTCTTGTAGCGAACTAATCTCGCCAGATCCATTCAGACATTCAAACGACCAACATCAACGAGCTATCTCGCGATTATCGTTATTGCGGTAGCATCGTCATAAATTCATCGTGACACAGAATAACCTGATCGACAAGTTGTACACTAAACGAGATAGTAAACAGGTTTAGGAATGAAAAGCATTATGAAACACCTCGATTATATTTAAGATCGCATTAGATCGAACCAGTCTGATATCGAGGATACTTGATGATGCGAGAATAAATGTGATGATATTATCATGAATATCTTTTATATCGTTGTTTTACGGATCAATTAAATGATGATCGTACAATTAAAATGTCGTAAAAGTGAGCTCATAAGGCCAGTCAAGCAAGCAACTTCTACGGCGCGCGCCACTAGTATCGGGAGTGTTTATTGGAATGTAAATGTCGCTGGATTATCGTTCCCGCGGTTCGCACCTCGTAAATTATTCCGTAACGAGCCGAGTAATGCCCATCATAAGCTGCTCGCCGAAGCTGACCCTAGTTATTTGCTTACGCGCTCTTGCCATTATGAACGCTTAGAGTATTAGCCACCTACTTTACTTTTAAAAATACACGAGAGTAAAAGATATCTAATTTCTAGAATATTTTTAATACCTAAATCGGTATAAATGCAAAATGGTTGGATCATTCCAAGGAAACGAAACGCCTTTCATAATATGTTTAAACAATCTGCTAAACAATCAACTGTATAGAAATTAGCTGTTACATTCTATTTTTTATTATTAAATAACATAGATAGTAAGTATAAAAAAGAATGTAATATATACATAATCCTAGAGTTATACTTTCTTTAGATACCTGTAGTGTCTTGTAAGTACATAGGTACATTACGCATCATCGATCGTTACGTTGAAAAATCTTACAAGTGTATAAATCACATAAAAGTTTATTAAGCTTTTAATTTGATGAGGTGTCATTGATGAAGACTCAATGCAGTTTTCGCTTTTGCGAGACTCCGACAGGTGGCAGCCCGTTTACTTGAAAATCATGACGGCAATAAACTTCGGTTTTATGACCACTTGAACAGAATCGTAAAAGTCAGGGCCTTTAAGCTTATAGCGTAGTAGGGCGCGTGTCGAATATGGTGGGGGCGTGAGGAAAGTCACCATATGAATGGGGAAGGTGTAATGGGCCATATGTGATATGGATATCCAAAAATGGACCTAAATGTCTTTTTTAAAACGGCGAATGACTAGTTTCAAAGATACTCTGGTGTCAAATATCATTTTAATGATGTGATAAATTTACCGATAAAAGTCAATTCAAATACTTACTATCTATTTGTTACTATGCTTCGATAAATTCTGTCATCGTGATAATGTAGTTTTAAATTACGAGCTACCCAGGTAGTAAGCTGATGTTATTTATCGTTAGCATGCTAATTAGGAATACAAATTGAGTAATTAAATTATATGTATTATTATATCCCAATATTTTATAAAAATATGCGCGAAAAATGAAAACAAATATTATCAACAGAGACATATCATCATTAATTATTGATGTAAAAATCCATACGAATAATATGACGTACATTCTATAGATCTTCAATAAAAACCAAGGCAATGAAATAAGAGTTTCGAAGTAAAGATTAGGAAACGTATGAGAAGACGAACATGAAAATGAAGAGGCCATTGCACCCGAGTCGAGCAAATCTGTGCTCTTGCTAAGCATTCATTCCTCATCGCTCTGGTGATTTGGCTCATCCACTTTCCTCCAAGCAGTAGTTCAATGCACTATTTGGACGTTCATTCTGGTTGAAGCTTCCTTCCTTCTTTCTATTTCATCGCTCTTCATTTTACACATTCATATTCACTTACAAATTGCATCTCTTTTTTGTGTATAATTCAGTAATATTTAATCACACAAACAAATAGACATAATACTAACATTTTAAGATGAATATTATTAATATCATTTTTTTTTTCGCGTGAATGAAATATTCTGTGAATCAAAATACGAAACGCGTATATGTATGTGTGGCACCGAAGAAAACTAAATTGATAAATTGGATATAATATTTTCTTATAGAATAATGAATTCCGTTTTATTCAATTTTTTTTAAATTTAAGAAGCAAAATATTAAATATGGCATCTAATTTGAAGCTAATATAAATAAATAAAAATTTCTTTAATTTTGGAAGTATTAATAATATAAAATAAAATTTTAAAGGTTTCTTAATTATATAATAATTTAATTTTTTGACTCTAAATATAATCTTAAATGAATCGTATTTTTAATAGTTTTTCCAATTAAACATTCTTATTAATTACATCACCAAAAATTAATAAGTTTAAAAAGAAATATTGTTAGCGCACAACATATTGATCGACAGCGCATCAAGAGTAAAGATAGAATTGCATAAGGATTCGGAAGATGCTTCCTTTGCCATCTGGTGGTCCTTTGCGTCATTATCTGATTACGAAAGGTGCATCGAATTTTCTGTAGTTTTCGCAGTCGATAGGAATTTAATAACCATCAATGTATATATATATATATATATATATATATGTTATAAAAACTTTGTTTCAAAAATTCTAAATTCAAACTATTACTGCTGCTATCGTTACAAACAATACAGTTGTCGCTATTCATTTTTGCATTGCATAAATTACAAAATAAGGCATGGTATTTATACGATTATTATTTTCTATAATACAAATTAATAACTAAAACGGGAATATCGACATTTGCGAGTATGGTAATGATGGAAATATGTATGAACGAGTTTCTTGTGAGACAAAAAAAGTAATTGAAAGATTATCGAGAGTAAAACAAGTTTATAATAAAAAAAAGAGACGCGCGAGGACAGCTATTATAATCCAGCAATAATTGACGACCAATTAATTTAATATGTTCAAGACTGTTCGTAAATTTACGAGTGATCTGCCTTACCGGTTGAGAAACTTTCCTGCAAGCAGGGTAAGATATTGAAGGATAACTGCGTTAGTAGAAATCCTAACTAAAGACGTGAGAGTCTCTGAATGTTAGAATATCGCAATAGAACATGATTTAATTCTAAAGTTATTAAATGTTTTATCTTATAGCAAATTACATTAGATAATAATAAAAATCATGTCAGAAACAATTTCGAAATTGCTACTTGACACACATGATCACGTTGCGTTTCTTATGGCAAACCATTGATAATGATAATGATATTTGATATTAGAATAATCAATAATTGTCGAATAATCAAAAGAAAAAAGAATTTAATATCGAATTAAATATTTTACTTTAAGAAACATTAATAAGCTTTACAAAAAAAAAAAAATTAATAAATAGGTCGCAATAATCCATAATTGTATTATACGAATTCCATCATTTTGATTATATTCCTAGATATCTTTTTATTTTTCAGTGTGAATATTCAAATCTTATAAAAGCATTCCAGCATCTTATAAAAATTCCAGGTTTTTCCATGAATTTTATTCAAAATTCTAGGTCTAATAAGATTAAAAATGTTAGTTGTACATTAAAGACATTCCAAAATAAATAATTCAAAAATTATATATACAAACTTGTTTACAATATGAAAAAAATATAATTCTTATATTACAAAAAAACCAAAGATGTATAATTTTTTATATCTATAAGTAAATAATATTTAGACAACACAAAATACTGAAATCCATTTTTTTAAAGCTTAAATTTGTTCGTTAAGTGCATCTACTTCTTTCTGAGCATTTTCTAAAATTCGAATTTATTCTTAAGAAAATCGGTAGCCTTACTTAAGGTGCCTTTTCATGCTCGACGAACGACTCTCATTTTTAGCAACAAAACAGATAACGTGATAAAAATTAACGAATATCAAGCATCAATTTCGATCATGTGATCTATTTTGATGCTAAAATTGAGAGTCGAGCATGAGCATGAAAAGGCATCTTTAGTCGTACAAGTTGATCAACTTCACTGATTCACAAGACTTAAAACTACCGATTATCAACTCATAGAACTATCAACTTATAGAATCAGCATATGCGAAGTCTACAATAAAAATCTAGTGGTCTAAAATCTGAAATCGTAAGAAATTGATCAATTATAGTCGATTATTCCTCACATTTGACTGCGATTAGTCAATTTCTTACGATTTCAGACTTTACGACTCCTATCGCAGAACACGTATTATCCCTTCATATGCTGTTAGCATACTACAAACTACGGCTGGTCGGCTGCTATCTGATATTAGGGTCTAGTTAAACTTGTATTATTTATCAAAGAAATGATTTTGTCAAATAAAATAAAATTTAAATTTAAAAATAGAATTTAAAAAATTTCCCTATTTTAACAAAATTCCAGAATTCGAAGATTTTTTCAAGGATAAAAAGAATTCCCTGAGAATTTCAGATTTTTCCCGAAGAAGACATCTTGAGATCTTTTATATTTTACAATTGATTTCTGGAAATATTAAAAAATTCGGAACTAATTTATATAGGTATTTACACATTTTTTTTACAAAATTAATATTTATAAATACACGCTAAAATATATAAAATAAGTTTAATAAAATAAGCAAATTAGTAAAAAATAAAATAAATGAGTAAAAAGTAAAATAAATAAATTTTAATTTGCTATTTGTAAAAGCAAGCAAGTCACATTGATACGTTTGAATTGAAACATAAAACGAAATGAATGAGGCCATAAATATTTAGAGCTAATGGTAGGGTGCGGGTGTATAAGTTATTGCTAGGGGACTATTAATTATGCTAACGTTGTAAGAAAATGCATATTATATCCTTGTAGAGAGTGATATTTGCTTGTTATGAAATAAGTTTAGAAAACATTTTTTTAATTATGATACGACTGATTTAGATTAAATAAAAATTTTGTCAAATTTTTCTCTTTCTATAATAATTAAAAAATTAATATATCTTACCTTGTCATGTTGGATGTAAAAAAATGGTATTTTTCCTCTCAAATCAGCAAAATGGATATCTCCGATCTGAAAAAAAGAGATTTATTTTATATAATATAATGAAAGAATGTACTAATTGTAGTCATTTTAGGTTGCCAACTATATACATTTGTTGCTAGAACTATTATATATACATAGTTACTGTTATTATTATTATAGTAGTAATAATCATAATTATAGTAATATGTAATTATAGTTACAAATACAAAACATTTTTCTCTCAGTGTGAAAGAAAAGATTGGTTGCTGCAACAATTTAGATAGAAAAATATAGCATTTTTATATGGCTGCAGCAACTAGTTTTTGGTTGTAGCAGCAAATTAGTTGCGTTAGTCTGTCGAAATCATATACTGACATTGCGGATAGGCTAATACAACTAAAAACTAATTGCTGAAACCATATAAAAAAAAATGCTATGCCATATTTCACTAAATAAAATAAATAAATTGATACAGCAACCAATTTTTTTTTTCAGTGTGCATATATGGTTTATATCATTAAAAGGTATTTTGATTAATAAAAAAAAAAGAATTTATTTATTTATTTATTCATCTTATTTTTAAAAAAATCTATTAGGTGTTGGAATTAATTCGTAGCGTTTTTTAATGAAAGAATGTTATTTATTTCACATGAGCATTAAAAAATACATTAATGAAAGTACTTCCCATCACTTGTAAAACGCTACGAATTAATTCCAACACCTAATATATAGAGAGAAAATATAGAGAAGCTGTATGGTATATATTGTAAATAGGTATACTAAAAACATATGGCGTAATATTCTATGAATATCTGGACACTGAACGCGTTTACTTTGTATAAATACGATCATCGAAGCATAAGCTTCTGAATTCGCTGTTTGTATCAAATGAATAATGAATGCCTGATTCTGAGCCCTACAATGATATTCTGTTTGATAAGTATACTGATGCTCTTTGTGCTCTGACCATGTGACATTTTATGATTAACGGAGAACTTATCATGGATAATCATGCAGCTCTCGTTGCGTCAGATTTCAGCTTTTATAATGTTAATTTTATAATGTCAATCCTTTTAAACTTAATTTTATTCATATTTCTGCAGAAGTAAAGGAAAAACATGTAATCATGTACTAATTTTCATATCAATTTTATTCAAATATTTTCTATTTTGTTGTTTCTAATTTGTTCAAAAATTTTCTGTGCTATTTTATAATAACGCACATATAAAATTTATGATAAAAAATAATAAATTTTCATTATTTAGCGTATATACAATGCTAAATAATCTGTGAAATAGATTTCCCAGTGCATTGTAACATCATGCTGAAACAGCACTATACACTGCATAAGATAATCAATCCGTAAAGTCTCAATCAGCGAATTTAATAAGTAAGAAAATCATAGGAGATAACATTAGGACGTAACATCAACCATGTGTATTAATATTTGTCCTATTGAAGATTGCATCTATAATACAACAATAATTTCTTTGCAACTCAGAACTTTGTCATGTTGTGCCGTACAATTGACTGCACAATGTGAATTTGCAATTCAAATGTTTACGAACATAACACAAATAAATCGGTAGAGGAAGATAGAAGGAGATGATAGAAGAAAATGCGAAAACAGAAGAATAGTACTGGAGAGGAATACACAGAATATAAGAATTTATCATAACGACCGCGCGAAAAATATCTCACAAAACATACAAAATTTCACAAAGCTTTTTAATCGCATAATAAATTTTATTTGATATTAAAATAATTTTGTTTTGCTACGCTTTTTATGAATTTTTAATTAATTAGATAAAGCCACTTTAGCCACACAATTTCCGACTTTCATGAAATCATAATTCGCAAATATAATAATTGTATTTTTATAAATAATCGTCCATCGTTAATTTTCTTATTATAAATATGAAGGAACAAAGCACAATCTTCGTTTTTCAATAAGAATATGATTATATGATTTGTTCCATGAAACCATATCGCGTCAACCGCGTAACGAAACAGTGAGAATAATACCTTTATGTTCAAACATTAATAAAGTTCAATGTGTCAGGCACAACCCTTCAGAACCCTTGCGAAAGCAATGATAGCATAAGATTCACAAAAGACGACGACGATTTACAACCAACGATGCCTTAATACAAAAGCCGAATGAAGAATGTCTTTATTAAAGCACTCCGTATTGAATTTAGGTCAATGTCTTCCATCACGAAAGTCGTTTTAGACGCAACTACCATGATGATTTCTTTCATGGAGGTTGTTTGAATTGGAGAGAGGGTAGAGGACCGGGCGGATCCTAAACTGAGAGACGCTCTAAAAGAAAGGGGAGTGACTTCAGGTATTTGTACCCCCGGAATTCTTCTCGGCAACCCCGCCTCCAAAATAGTCTCTGGACCGTCTTATACAACATTCCTTTTGTAGACGTCAAGGTCAAAACTAAAAAAAATACGATATCCCTTGCATCAGAAAAATTGTACACGTTCCTTGACATTCCATTTCGCTTGCGAAGTAGACAATCTGTTTTGATCTTGAGATATTAAAGCACAGTAACATGTGACGAGAATAAATTAGATATATGACATTGTCTTGATTGAAATGTGAGTAAAGATTTTACGAAGATTCTTAGATGATCGTGATATTTCATAAAGTTCCAGATTCTTTTCTTCTTTGTTACAATATTAAAAAACGTAATAAAAATAGTGAAATATATGGATATATTTATACATATAAATATATGAATAAGAAAATGTAATATTTTAAAATATGTATATAAATTATTTTTTCAATTGTAAAAGAATACATAAAAAAATTAGCAAATGTCGTAAACTTTACTAAAAAGAGAAAATTGCATAAATAGTATAAATAGATCATTTTTATTTAAAAAGTATATTAGCTCGTTTTTCCGTTTTTTTTTTTACATTTCTAATCTCATAAAGTATATGTTAAACTGCCAAAATACTCATTTGTATTATATTACAATATTTCGGATAAAAAAAATGACGAGATCCGCAACATTAATTAAGACTAATAATGCATAAAAATCAGTACTGCGAAAAAATTTATAAAGAGTATATGAACAGAGTGCAGGATCAACGGACAAAATTGTACTGAAGTCTGGGAAAGAGAGTGATGAATAATGGATGATACGGCGACGTGACCATCTCACGCCCAATATGGTCTGTAGGAGTTAGCCGTAATGGTCCGTAAATTGGTAAACCACAGGGACAATGAAATTGGCGTGCTTCGTTTTGTAAACGCTCTATTATTACGCGTTCTTCTGCCTGCATATCATTATGTCAAACGTAGTTAACTAATAGCACAGTAGCTGCAATAAAAAAGTTTTTAAGAATATTAAACAAGAGATAATAATGATATAACATATCATCGTTATATATTCTAATTAAAGTTATCTGATTTTTACTATCTGCAATTTATTATGAATTCTAAAACTTGATGTTGATTTTAATTGGTCATCAAAATTCTGATTTTAAAATAAAACCATCATGCAGAACATAAAAAAATTTGCAAATTGACAAAAATGATAATAATTTTGTGAAAAATTTTTGAATGTACGAAAAGTAATCTAGTTTTTAATTGTAAATCAAAGAAAGAAATTTATAGAATATAATTTATATAATTTATATATATATATTATGTAGCTATGTATAAAAAATTATTATTCAAAGTCATTTTTCAATCATTTTCGATTCATTTTAATGTCATTTTGACATTAAAGTTACCGCGACTTGTTGTTTCTGCTGAGAAAGTACACTTTGACTAATTCGAAAAATGAAGATTTTTTTTTAGCATGGATTGCGAGAAAGTATACCTAAATATGATCCATTTGTAATTTTTACGGCACTTTCTTAATATATACATTGAACTTGTTATATTAGAAATTCTATTGAGAAATATTGATCTTACGAAGAAATACAGCAATCCGCATAAAATGTTATTATGCTTGCACCGGTAAATGGTATACACGATTCCGTCATTTTGGTTATCCTGAAACAAAATATCTAAGTAGCTGCGTTCAGCAGAGAAAGTAGCTTTGCAACTGTAAAATTCTTCAGTATAATTGGTTTATACATTTAGATCCATAAGGAACCAAAAGCAAGAACCAATCATTGAAGAATTTTATAACAATTGCAAAGCTTATACTTTCTCTGCTGAACACAGTCAATAATTTCATAAATTATAATGTATTCCCTATCGTCTGGCCAACAATTTTGTTGAACATTTTTAGTTTCCAAAATATAATAACATTTATAATACCAAAAATGTGTTAAAAATTCTAACATGTTTATTTTCGTCAATTTAAAAAAAAATGAAAAAAAGCTCGGTCAGACAATACATTTGGAATACATTATGATTTATGAAACTATTTGGATTTTTTGTTTCAGGATAACTAAAATGACGAAATCATGCATGAACGTGGATTTTACGCGGATTTTTATATTTCCTCACAAGATTAATAATTACTTTTCATTTATTTACACTGAATCTCAGATAATTCTCACTTGTAACATCATGACTCAATTGAATGCGTGTTCCTTTTGTATTCTGACAAGTGAGATTCAACTGAGTTTTTACCTACAATCTGCACAAAATCGAGACCGTATGCTTTATGGCGTTTTCGGCTCGACTAGGTTTACACCAATCTGAGTTGAAGTAATGACGTTTCGTGCTCTTCTATTGGTAGAGCATGTAACGTCATCCAATAGCAAAGCATTTTGCAACCCAAATTGGTGCAAACACGATCGGGTCAAAAACGCTATTAGTGAGTCTCGTAAACTCACTTTAAAAGTGAAGTTATGAACCTATGTTGTCATGTGATAACTTTTTAAAGTAAGCAAGTAGTGATGTTATTAATCTGAGTTTGAAATACTCAGCTCACTTCAGACTCAGTTTCACTTGTGAGTAAATAGAAAGCAACTAATATTGCTCAATAAAATTTGCAACATAACAAGTTCAATATATGTATTAGGCAAATGCCAAATTACAAACGGATCGTATTTATACTTTTCCCACAATCTATGCTAAAAAATTTTCACTTTTCAAGCTGGTCAAAGTATACTCCCTTAAAACATAGATAGCATTGTGAAAATTTTAGCAGAAAACAGTTCTAATTGCAAATACTATATGAGTAAAAAATTTATTATTTTAATTCGTTATTTTGAATTTTGATTTAATTACGAAATGTAATGAATAATTATGAAAGCAAGAAAGAATATAATTTCATTTATATCTACATATAAATCTACATTCATACATGTATTATATATAATACATATATACATATAAATAAATTTTTTATTAAAGAAATCTTTATATTTTTTATGTATTGTTGTATAATCATTCTTTTTAACTTAAAAAAAATAAAATTATTAATAATTGTGCGTATGTGAAGCATAACTAATAAACTATACTTCAAATATAATTATACATAATTATGTAATCATGTTATAATTATTTTAATAACTACACTAAGAAAAAATAGCTTAAGTTTAAATAAATATTTGTATGAATACTGCCAACTAAACATTTACTTACAATAAATAAATATTTACTTAATAAAAAGAAGTGATTGTTTTTTTTTAAATCAAATTAATGTTTTTTTTAACTAAATAAAGATATTTTTATAGTTAATAAATATTTAGTTGGTACTATTCAAATAAATATTTATTGAAATTTAGGATATATGAATTTTTTTTTCAGTGTATATTCTTTGCAAATAAAATCCTTGAAAAGTTATTTTAATGTAATTTATAAATAGAACATGCATTAATCAATTATCAAAGTTACAAAAACATTACGATTCTTAATAAAATCCTTCTTAATTAATCCTTTCTTAATTAATTATTCCACGACTATTGATTTCTACCTACTTAAAGCAATGACGGAGCATAAGCGTATAAACGATATTACATGATAACCTTAGGCGCTAACAAGTTCAAGCCGATGATTGTACGTGCGAGCGTGAATGTTAGATTAGAGAGATAAGTGAATAATATATAAATGGATATATAAATGAATTTCCGGGACATGTATAAATAATGTAAGATTGGCAAACACGTAACGTGGTGATGTGATGGTGTGAAATAAATCATAAAATAAAAAAATAGCAATTATCCCAGCTATGTTCCGTGACAGATCAATAAGAAAAAAAAATTTTCCGAAAACTTACAATCAAAAAAGTTTACTCTATGGATTCCGACACTTTTAACATTTATATATACACTGAAAGAAAATGTTTGGTATTAGTGACTCTAATTGCATGATAAAATAATTATAATTAAGGACTCTCATTTTTACGATTTCTGCTACAATGTTAGTAACCATGATAATAACCACCATGTGATAATAACCATATATGTATAATTCTCTCAAACATGAAAAAATTATACTACAAATTATGACAATTCAAATAGTAATATAGTAAAATACCAAGAAATAAACGGTAAATATAATAAACATTATTGTTCAGTAAATGTAACCACAATTATAATGAATTTTATCATTTTTTAAAATTAATTAATTATTTGTTTGGTAATAATAACTAAAAAATATATTTAAAAAAAAATTAAATAATTCTCAAGCAATGTATATGACAATTATTGGATTAGTAGCATAATTGATTACATTTGCATGATTAAAATATTTATAAATATATATATAGTTATACCAAATATATATATAGTTATAAATATATATATAGTTAATATATATAGTTATACCAAAAATGACAACAAATTATAATTAATTTATAGTAATTATAATCATCTTTTTCTCTCAATGTACAATTGCTTGATAGCATTTAAATCAATTGAAATGTGCAATGTGTCAAATGTGATAATAACACTTTACGGTAGTCGCATTTGACAAATGATAACAAGTTCATCAAGCATAGGTCAACAAAAATTCAATAAAAATTTTCATATCTTACTAAAGTTTAGCACGACCAGCTCTAAAATGGCAGTAATAATTATCCAAGAAAACTTTATTTAAATATATTTAAAACATATTTTAAATATATTTTTATATTTTTTTATATAAGTACATAAATTAAAAAATCTTTCCGTTTTGAAAACCTTATAATTTTTTGAAAAGAATATAATAATACAATTATATTTTGCATTATGTTCTTCTAAAAAATATGAGAGATTATAGAATCAATAGACTCTGCAAATAAATTACAAAACAGTGAGAGTGAATTATCAAACTATATTAATAACATATATATTGTTGCGTATAGGATGTGCAATAACTGTATGCATAATCCTAAATACAAAATGCAGACATAATGTTATATATATATACATATATGTATATGTATATATTATTATATTAATGAGTTCAAATCAGTATGTGACAATTATTAGATTAATAAAAACAGAAATAGTATACTTCTTCCTTGTTATATAATATTTAATGGCAATGTACAATTTTTATGATAAATTATATGTGTATATATACGATTTTTGTTATATATGATCAAGCGTATGTAAGACACAGACATAGTTTAAGAACAATGGAGACAGATAAGATCGTGTGTGCATGTGTGAAACAGAAGTTGCAGATTAGTCCTAGATATCCTGCGTGTAGGCTTGGACAGGGTCACATGGGGTACATAGTGTAAAAAGGCTCTACATGGGTTGGTAAGTTTTTCATCACGTAAGTTCATCGGGGCCACGAAGAGAGATCTGAAGAATGCGCACGCTCTGAAGAAATGCCGAGATGGACCAAGTCGAGAAGAGGAACTATGCGGGAAACCAATGAGAACGCGACATTTTGCTCTTATCTTTCTTTGTCCGTTTTTTTTGTATGCATTCCACAATCATTTTCAATTTTGTTATTGCGTCCCCTTTTTCCAAATAATCATTTATATTTTTCTACATAAATTATTTTCCTTATATTCTTGTTATTTTCATACAAGATAAAAATTTGTAATATACGTCTTTTCTAATTTCAACTTAAACGTGCGTTTTAATAACATAGAATTGCGCTTCTCTTTTAATTTTCTATTTAGAGACTTCTCTTTTTTCCAATTTGCTATCATTGCTATGTTTGCACAATCATTTTTTACCTTCTATTTTTATCCTAACATGATATCGCTCTTCTTTATTTCTCTCTCTCTCTCTCTCTCTCTCTCTCTCTCTCCCTCTATTTCTTTTTTATTCTCTCGTATTTCCTTCCATTTTTTACTATGTATATTTCTTTCTTTTCCTTCTCCAAGCAATGTTTATTATCTTTATTTTTGTCTCAACCTGATAAATGTTCATCTTTCTTCTTCTATCTTTTTCATCAACGATTCCTCTTTTCTTTTTTCATTGCATTTTATTTCTTTCATTACATTTACCTTTCTATTCATTTTTGTTCAGATCTTTTTTGTAATCTATCATATTTGCTAATTCCAAAAAACATCTTTCAATATTGTATTATATATTTTATTAGGGAATAGTACGAAATATAAGTATGTTTACAAGGGTATACAAGGTATGTTTCTTTAATTTGTAATCAAATTTGTTACATTATTTGTTATAATTTTTTTATTTATCTTGGTTTATCATATTACATTAAGATAATATCAATTAAGTAGAATTTTACAATTCATAATTCGATCTTAGTTTCGCTGACGAGTTTATCAGAAATCTGAGAATATTTACTATGCTTGATTTTTCGCTACTTGTAAGCAAATATGGCACAGACTATGAAAGGAGAGATAACATTTATCTGAGAGAGAGAGAGAGAGAGAGAGAGAGAGAGAGAGAGAGACAGACAGACATATTACATTTATATAACGTGAGTAGAATCAAAACATACCGTGAAACTTGAGCTAAAGTACTTAATGTGTTAAGCAATGAAGTGTAAGTGGATACGTTTTGTGATCTGCTAAAATGGTGTGTGTGTGTGTGTGTGTGTGTGTGTGTGTGTGTGTTATGATGATATCAGCGTTCTTTTACAAGAAAGAACGATGAAGAACTTGGTCAGTTGTTGATTAGAGTAAGGAATTCATGTAAATTGCGAATATCAAAATGTTATATATATATAATATGTGTGTGTGTGTGTGTAATATATGTATATATATTCTAAAAACATATAGACCCACATTCAGAATGCGCTTTTATCTCTGAAATTCTATAATATGCGTAACGTATAGTATATCAAGTTATGCTAACATCGTTGTAAGCGTTCTGAATATGGACCATAAATTAGTAACTTGTTAATTTTTATTAAATATTGTAGACTATATCATACTAATAATTACAAATGTTGAGCCATGTATAATATTTAAGAATGGAGCTCTTTTAATGGCTATCCGGTCTATTTATGTTAATTATAAATATATATATATATAAAAACTTATTATGAAGAAACGTAAATTACAAAGATGAAAATGTATGAAAAATATTCATTGTCATCACAAATGTTATAAGATATATAAGATGTACAAAAAATACCTGATGGTAGGACTTCAATAAAGAATGGTGAAGTGAGCGTCAGTTGCTAGGGTTGCATCACTGGTTACCATGATGCACTGCGCTCAGCTGACATTACAAGATGGCCGCTCGCAGCTTGGGCGTGGTCGTTTTGTATCAATTAAAATGTTTTATTCTTAAATTCATAAATACGTCTTAAGGAACTTTCTTAATCGAAAAGGAATCATTATGCAGAAAAGCAGCACTATGACGCGATTTACACTTCCACTTCGAGAAACGCTTGATTCAACATGATTGCCGCGACACGCGATGTGGATGCTGCTGCTTCCGTAGCAGCCATCTTGCTGATACTCCCTCCATCATGCGCGCGCGATCCTCGTGTCACAGCCTCCGTCGCTTCTCTTTTATCTCCCTTTCCCTCTACTCCGCGTTGTGTTTCTTCTGTCCGCCTTTCTACATCTTTAGAGCGATATCGTACCACGACAATTTCTTTCTACTGATGCGCCATTTAAAAATGTTCTCTTTATCTTTGAGAGCGCAACACACCATTGTCTTGAACGATCGATATCGTCAGATAATTGTCATGTATTTACCGAATTCGGAATTTTTTTATATTTTTGCAAAAATATTTTGACAAAAATTTTTAACTATACGATATTTACGTAAGCTTTGAATATTCGTCAAGTATTCTTTCAATATGTCTGACAAAAAGTGCAGTAATTATTCGCAGATTTTGTTTTAAAAATGTAAATAATTAAAAATCGCAGAATCGAATCGTGAAAATAAAATCCAGATATAAATATCCAGTAATATTTTAACGAAATAAAGCATCACTAAAACAGCGACACGATACCCCTCTACGTATCTCCCCTATTTCAACCCAGCTCGCCTGTATCCCCCATACATCTCTAGGGCTACTCGTCTCACGGTACAGCGGCGCAACATAGTATCGTAGACATTCCGAACGAAAGTACAGGGATGTCAGCATGCGGGTCGCGAGAAAAATGAACGACGGCGACGAGGACGACGGTGACGACAATTTTGAAATTCGCGAAGCGTCGTGGATCGCCGGAATTGCTAAAAAATCAAGGCGTTAACAACTGGTGCCGGATGAAAAATCGAAGAGAGAGAAAAAAAGAGAGATAGAGAGAGCGGCGGCAGGGAGGTTGAAAACGGCTTTGGAAACGTTTGTGGTAAGTGTAAGCATATGAGATCGCGCGATTGTGTGCGTGTATTCTATCTCGTGATACAAAGCTGGTTTTCGTCGCAGCAGGCATTCTGTCCAGAGGACCGAGTGAGGGAAGCCGGGGAAGTAGGTACGGCCATCTTGGCTGCTCGTATCATCCTATCTCTCCTTCACATATGCGCCTCTCGTTCCTCTGATGCATCCCGCGCCTGCGTATCTCGAAACAGCGCCACTGGATTTCTTCTCCTTTCTTTTCGGCGGCGCTGTTTCTTTTCTCTATCCTTTATCTTCTTTTTTCTGTTTTTACTTTGCCCATCCTTTGACACGTGCCGCCGACCAATTCCAGCAGAAGTGCGATACTAATGGCGCGATCCAAATCTAAAGCACGTTCTGGCTACTTAACGGTCAATATACTTTAAACAATTCTCGAGGGAAAACATTTATCTTTAGAACGTAATCTCCAATTTGCGTTACCTATGTAAATTTTTACATCTTTCGGCTTCATTGCGACTAAACGCGTTTTATAACTCAATTTAATGTTTTCTAAAAGTAAAAATTTTCTTATTAAACTTCAAAAGTGTAAATTTATACTATATTTACGTTTATGTAAAAATGTTATGTAACAATACGCCATAAATATCAATCACTTCGCAATAAGATTTGCTGTAAACATGTCAAATTCGATTTGCTGCAAATATTTCATATATTTATTAACAGCTTTGAATGATGTGCAGGGAGTTGAAAAGCTCGTTGGATAATTATTTTGCTTTCACCTACGAAGGACAGAGTAACGCTGTGGATGTATATGCTCGATAACGTGAGCATTTATTATGCTGCTGATAGTATTCCAATGCTATTATTTATCGCATTGTGGCGTGATTGTAAATTAAATATGATATTTTATTACAAACCAGACTGATTTAATGTGTGTTTTAGATAATTAATAATACGATAAAGTAAAAATATTAGATAACATGATCATTATTTCTCTATGATCACTTTACTAGTTCGAATATCAATTGAGAGGATGGGCAGAATTAAAGCCTAATTGCAGAATCTTGATTTTAATAAAATATAACTTGCTATTTTTTTATTATACATAAATGAGTACAGTATGAAATGAATTTATATAATGTCTTTAAGAAGTTACATATCACAATACTTCTCTAATATCATCAATATTATATAAAAAAGCTAATCATCAATATTATATGAAAAAGAATCCAAATAGAATTTGGCCTTTATTCCGTTCATCCCTTCAATTGTTGTATGGCTAGATTTATTATTTCTAATATAAAACTGTCTTCTGGTATTTTTCTATAAGTTCAAAATTATTATAAAACAAAATAAAAATTTAATAAAGTTGTTGAGAAACATAATAATAATAATGTAATAAGTATAACTGGTAGAAAATGAACAAGAAGACTCTAATTATATTTATTTCCGACTTTTGTAATTTTTTAATACATTTAAATATTTTTGTTTTTACAACAAAATAATTGTTTGCTTAATAATTTAGTGCACACTTAAATAAATTAAATTTTTTTAATTATAAATATTATATCTTCTATTCTTTTCTTATAAAAAGTAGGGGCATTCATTTTTGTATCTTCAAACGTGTAAATAGAATATGTCTGTCTCTTAAGCTATAATTAAAAGTGTTCACATATATAATATTTGCAATATAATATGTTCCAATTTAATTCACTGATAAAAATTTGTTGCTTTTGCTCTACATATATTCATGTTGCGAAATCGAATGTTATCGGAACATGCATCGTAAAACCGGTCCTGTCATATTCTGGTACCAGCGATAAAAACAAGATTTTATCTTTTTTTTATTCACGTCATAAAGATTGAATCAAATTTGATAATATTTCAAAGTTCCATTGCTTACTACTTCTACCTTGTGGGAAGGAAATGAAATCTTGCTTTACGTACTACTGAATCACGAAAATATATCCAAACAAATCTTAATACAAAATACAACTAAATATTATATAATAAATTATTTTATTACATCATTACGCTTGTACACATCTATTATGTATATATGTATGATCGCACAGTTCATATGTTTTTATGTATTTATGCAACAATTCTTTTTATTAAGATATAGGTCATATTTTTTGCAGATATTATTTATTGCGAAATTTTCAATTTGAACGTAACGCAAAGATATCGCTAATAAAATATTTCACACCTAGTGGGACGTTAAAGCTTCTCCGCAACGCATCTCCGCCATTAACTCCGGACGCCGTGCTCAGACTTACTGCATATTGATCTCATCAATCCTATCTTCCACCTTCCCTTCCCTAGGTTTCCCTTCTGTCTGTTCTTCCCTTCCCACCCCTCATATCACAACTGACACTGGGTTGTAAATTATGTTTGATCGATATTCCGGGAATGAATATAACTATGCGAAATTGAATCATTGTATTTTACAAAATAATAAAGATAAATTTTAACATATTGTGCAAAACAAAAACTAAAAAAAAAAAGAAACAATGTATAATAATATTATGATTAAATTTAACTATGCATGTATATGTACAATATCAGAATAAGTTTTCAGGATTAAAGAATACATAAATACATACAATACTTCGCTTTTTCAAATATAGACAACAATACTTTACAATAAATTTTAAAGTTGTATTTAGGAATATTGCTTTACTATCTGTTAGATTAAAAAGACTAAAAGTCATTAATTCTTCGAGATTTCATTTATGACTGTCATTTGCAATTAGCTTGACAATCATGATTTGCTGATATACTTTATACGTATTGAATGATTTACTAAATGTCAACAATATATTACAATTAGTGGAATAATGCACTTGTTATTAAGGGAATTTACATAAAATATTATTATACTGTTATACAAACAAATACTCGCTATTTTTAATTTATTTTTTATACGAAATAATTTTGTTCGATAAATACTAGAAATTAAAGCCTATTATTAAAAGATCCAGCTTCGACGTTATAGACTTTTAATTTCTAATAGATTGTGTTCTTCCATATGCGGTCTAAAATAAAGTTTTTTGATCATATTGTTTGTTCGATAAATTTTTAAAAAAATTCGTTGTCTGATAATAATGCAATTATGTGTTTAATATGCATAATTTTCAATCTCTCTTTACACTTTACTGTACAGTAAAAAGTAAGTGAATATAAATTAAATTTGAAGAAAAATATAGTTATTAATTAATATTCAATAGTTATATATCAAAATATTAATTTTTAGAAACAGTTACTAAAATTTATTGAGACAGTTATTTTATCAGTAAATTCTAGTTTGCATACAACTTTACTAAATACACACAGAAACAAATCGCAGCGCACACATAGAATGTTTTTTTTTTTCGGATTCTGTTGGCAGATAATTCCAAGTCAACAGGCAGACTTGATTTTGCGGCGTGAAACATCGCGAATAATCCGTGACGTAGTAACGACGAGAACGGCCAATCTGGTTGCACTTTTATGCGCTGTTTGGCACACGAAACGCACGTCGCGCCTATAAAACGCATAAAGCGTCAGGTATAAGTGGCCGGCACGCTCTCTCCCAACCGAACCTCTTAAAACGAGCACGCGCACGCTGCTGCCTTGGCTGGATCCAGTAAAAGTTGCCTTTTGTTTGATAGCCGACTAAATCGGCCTGGCAACCCCCTAATGCGTCATTACTGTCGGACTTTACTGCTGCCTCGTATCATTTCACTTAGGTATATTGATATGGCAACGAGTTCCCGACCTATCCTAACATCAACGATCTTACCGCACTATTCACGAAGATGTTAGTCACGTTACTGAGTTTTACATAATTTCCGCTATATGTGCGTAACCAAGCAATTATTTATTAGCGTAGACAAAAATTTTTTTATCACGAAAATTTTTAATTATATACCATTAATCTCTCGCGATGCATAGCTTCAATTTCCTGTTACTGACAATAAACAAGCATCAGTATAGAATATTTGCATATATCAAACATTACTTGAAATATATTTATTATTTTTGTTATAATGGCAATATAGTTATTTTTCTGAGATTTATTAATTTTAGTATTTTCAAACTTTGCTCTTTTTATACTGCACATTTTTATAATTACAATAAATTGTACGTTATAATATCAATCCTAATCAAAAT